TATATATATATATATATATATATATATATCTGTGTGTGTTTGAAAAAAGATGTCTTTAGAGAAGTTTAGAGGGAAGGGAGGGAATTCCGACCATCCCTTCCGATAACACCCATTCAGTGTCGGCCTTCTTCAACCAAATCCCCAACACCCCAGGTCCTTCATTCCACAAGAGTTTCCTTAAATTGGTGTTCTCATAGGTCCTTCACAACATCATGAAAGTAGAATCCCTGTTACTGCAATCTACTGAAAAACGACATTGGAACCGGCAAAAGAAATCATCATTCTTGATCAAGGGAAGGGTTTGCCGGAAAGAATCCCAAGTCCACTCACGGGTCCACTAAAATTCTGGATATAAGGTAAGATCTTCAGCTTCACATATTCGGAATTTAATAAGAAGCTATGCATAACAGAAATTCAGAGGAAACAAAAGCTTAACATCTGCCTAGGGTTAGATACTTGTGTCTGGCTTTTGGAAAATATTCGATTCTTCATTAACCACGGATACTTGCTTTCTGAGCATCAAAGAGAGAAATCTAGACGGGTAACCCTCTCTTTCAACTCATCCAGACTCTTCAACCACATCAAGCTTTGTGAACATCGTAGAGATGGCAAAATCTGGCTCCTAATACCAGAAGGCAACCAAGGTAACTTTTCTTCATGCCTTCGAAGAGCCTTTGATTCCCTTAAGCTTTCAATTCCTTACCCCCCCCCCTCCGTTTATTGATAATCCTATGGTATGTGACAATACTTCAACACTACCGTTTTGGTCAGATTAATCCTTCTCACCCCCACATCATACCGTCGATATCCCAGAGGATTTTAGACACACGCATATACAAACCAGTTCTCAAAACTCCCCCACCCTTCACAAGGCAGCTTCACCTAATGCATTTCATGGGACATATTCATAATATTGGTAAAATTCATTGTAATCTTGTTTCACCCCAATCATTGTACCTTTAACACTCAAACTCATAGTTAAATATTAAAGTAAACCTCAAAATGGTTAACATGGGTACATTTATATTAAGTATGTTATACAGTAAATATAACACTTCTCCCTTGTTAAATTGCCTACTCAGTAATATGCATAGAATAATTCATTAATCACTATAAGATGTAAAATTGTAATCTTATACGCAAAAGTGAAATGACAATAGATCACGTGTTAAGAGATGCAGCTCAACACGGTGGATGAGAAGATCTCAAGATTGAATATAGAGAAGCAGATCATAATTAAAAGAGAACAGGAACAAGATGACAGTAAACCTAAAATGATTGTATCCAACTTACTTCATTTTTTGGGAGTTTACTCTCTTCTCCACTAAAAGCTTTCTGCTTCTTCATTCCACCAACATTGTCATGCTCTGCAATTTCATTTCTCTTTTTCCCCAAATATGTTGTCTTTGTTCCTTTGTCACGGACCTTCCACACATTTTTCTGTCTAAGCAGCAATTTATCAAATTTCCACGGGGTACAACTTGTGTCTATCACAGTAACCTCACTCCTAGAAAACCCCATTGCTGTTGAATTGATATTCACCTCCTCCTCACTTGGTACTAAATTCTGTCCTGGCTCCAGTTGCTTCACCTTGCTGTTCACTGTCTTTATTTCTGCTCTCTGCTCATCCCCGGGGCCAGAAACATTATTACATTCAGAAGAAGTGGAAGCCGCAAAAAGCCTAGGGTTTGATTGTTTCCGAGAAACCTTTTTATGTACTACATAATTACTGGGTTCTCCCATATTAAACAGCTCGGCGAGAACATGGCTAAAAGCATTGAACAATTCTTTGCCTTCTCCATCGACTGAACCTTCAAGAACCTGTTCTTTCTCTGATTCAGCTCCAAACGAGCAGCATTCCGAACGGATGCCTTCTGACCTCGGGGATGTGAGATTAATTGTCGCGGAATCAAGCGTGGAAAACGTATGGTGATGCATTTGTTCGAAATTGACGAGGTCGCCGGATGGAAAGCCCTTCGACGATCGGAGACGGTCGGGCCATTTAGAACCGCCGGATTTCTGGGTCGAAATGGAACACAACATGGACGTCGGTTGAGGGTTGTCCGGGGAATTGTAGATCAACGGCGAAAAACAATCCGTGAATATGTTTGACAAGATGGAGTAGACTATAAAATGAACTAAGGTGTGTTTGGATTGGGAATTTCATTTCAAATTTTGAATTTCAATTCTATAATTTGAAATTCCATAATTCAAATTCCATTTTAGTGTTTGGCAAACACAAGAAATTCAAAATTCATAATTTCAAATCCAAATGCTGTTTGGGAAATTCATAATTTCAATTCTAAAATTCAAATTCTGATGTTGTTTGGCAAGTACTAGAATTTCATTTCAAATCTTTAATGAATAAAATATTGTAAACATAATCTCAAATAACATAATGACCAATTGTTTCATAAACAAAATACATACTAATGTATGACAATTAGAAAAAGTATTAATTTGTAGCAAATATTTAATATTGCGTAGTTGTTCATAACTCAATCACTCTTCCAAGCACAACAATATCCAATCTAGCTTCTCATCTTCTGGCAAGTCCTTGAGCATTTGAAACTCAATGTTCCACTATGACCGATACACCCAATTGAGACCTTAGTTTATCAGCTACAGCTTGGTAAGCTTGTGGCTTCCAATCTCCATCGCCCTTGTTGCTCTCTTTGATTTGGTCGTATAACACCGAAATGAGTATCACATCCATTTGTCCATTCCAAGTGAGACAACTCCTTTTCTTGCCTTGTGTGAAAGCCATAACTTCCTTCTCTTTATTCATCACCTAAGGATGTTGACAAATTAGCAAACAAATTTCAAATTACAAGTTGCTGAATAACAGAATTTGCCACTTGAGTAGGAAAAAGAAACAAATGCTTAGGGAATGAGCCAACTCATCCCTAGGTAAACAAATGCTTAGGGAAGAAAAGAAACATCTCGGTTTATAGGGCTGAATTTAGATATCCTTCTCGGATTATGACTCAAGAAGTCCTAGATTCCAGCTTCGTACGTTGCTGCCCTGCCTCTTCTTGAGCCGTACTTGTGCGATTAAGCCGAGAGTAGGCTGCAATTGAGTTCTCAGATTAGGACTCAAAATCTGAGTCCAAACATACCTCGAGTTCATATTCAACTTATTCAAGATCCAAGAGGGAAATAAAAGATTCCTCTTTCTACTTTTATTTTTTTATTATTTATCTTTTCCCCCTAGATTTTCCATAACCTATATGAGCAGCAGAAGGCTATGGAGCCTAAGAAG